ATATGAACGCATCTCTGTTAAGGTTCTAAAAAAAATATAGTTGTACAAGATTGGTATCTTTAAAATTGTTTGTAAACAAACCTTATTAACATATAGATTAATTTGAGCCGATTACAATATCAAGGTAAATTGTCTTGAATTTCGTTATAATAACTCAACATTAAAGAAATTAAAATTTGATGCAAAAATAATGTACATAGTAATTTAAAATTTATACGGTCTTATTGATAGGTATCAATATTTTTTAGAAAGCACATTTTGGTTCAAAATTAAAAACTGTATAGGATGTACTTGCATTTTTTCTTTAATATTTTTTTTGGAAACAAACCTTATAAACAACCTATGACCAATATCTTATTAATATAAATATCTAGAAATTTGGAAGAATAAATTGTATCACATAAATAAAATTTTGATGCAAAAATAATGGTCAAACTTTCAAATTCGACGATAAAAGTAAATAACAATATATTTAAAAATCGTACTATTCTTACCAGTTCAACCGAACACCAAAACCAACTGGTGTTGATCGGTTTGCAAGAAAATATTTTATTTAAGTTAATCGGACTGAACATTAAACCGATTGCCGGTCTATTCGGTCGGATGTTTGGTCCGGTCATGTTTTGAAAACAATAGGTGAATTATAATTAATGTTATTTATATATTTAACTTATGACACAATCATAATATTGTTTCCCCGTGCATCGCGCGTGCGATGTACTAGTTAATATATAATAAGGATTAACATAATTCACTTTTAAGAATACTTTCCCGCCAATTTCATTAATTACTGCCTAAAAATAATAATTAACAAAATCTCTAATTATTAGCATATCTTTTTTATCCAATTTTTTTTTTTTAGGAATACAATAAAAAATATGGAATCAAAATTAAAATAAATCTAAGAAATAAACTTACCATACTTAATACACTTAATTTAAAAAATATACTTACCATACGTATTTATAAAACAAATTTAAATACAATATAAAACATTTTATTAATAATTGCCAATTAAATATTCATTTTAAAAATCAATCATATTTTTAATAATTGTTAGAAATAATTTATATATATACATATATATATATATATATATTAGTAGTTACGTGAAAGTAACATAAATGTTACTTATATGTTAACATATATGTTAACATATATGTTAATCCTATATAATAAGGATTAACATAAATCAAATTTGGAAACAATTTCTTGCTACTTTCATTAATTATCTCCTAAAAATAAATACTTTTATACTGGTAAACAATAAAGAATCAAAATCCGAATAAATCATGATTTCCAAACAATTTGGGAATCCGAATACATCTCCAATGAAAATCATGATTTGCTACATCATGATTTTAGAAATCTGTTCAAAATTTTCTTTGCATGAATCTGAATCATAATTCATTCAGCCTATTATTATATTATTATATTGTTTGATACCGCATGCTAAAATTTGTATATATTAGATTTCTAAAATCATGATTTGTATATATCATCTTTTCACCAATTAGACTTTTTTCTTCATTATCGAATTGAAAAAGAAAACAAATTTTATATACCTTACCGGTTTTGATAATACAATGTTATAACCATTATCATTATTTATTTTTAAAGATAGTGCTTGCATTTATTTGATTTCAAAAGATGGAAAAATTTACATAGTTTAGGTCTCTTTTTATTTATGCATTT